CCGCACACACATGATCAGTACATACAATACATTTTTCATCTGTATTATTATCCNCTTTTACTAACATAAAGATATAATAATTCATTCATCGAGGCAATTACGTAAACCTACATACATACATACATACATACATACATACACACATACATACATACATACATACATACATACATACATACATACATACATACATATACACATATATATACACATACATATACACACACACGCACACACACACGTACTTAAATATAAATAGCTTTGAGCTCTCGAGGTTTATTTCATCATAACAAATTTATTACACGATACGTTCGTAAATGTTGTATTGTGTTGAGTTTTTTTATAATATTGCCTGTTGGCTGGTTTGTAAACATATAGTATTCATTTTATATGTTAAACAGTAGTAATTTTAGTGGTAATTGTAGAAGTTACTGTTTTTTACTACTACTATTAATAGTAGTAGTAGTAGTAGTAGTAGTAGTAGTGGTAGTAGTAGTAGTAGTAGTAGTGGTAGTAGTATTTGTTGTAGTAGCATTGGTTTTAGCTGTAATATTGTTATTATTATTTGTAGAAGTAGCTGTGACAGTAATAATTTTATTTTTATTAGTAGTAATAACAGATTAATCTATTCATTCATCAATTCGTCCATCTATCTATCCATTTTCGTTCATCCGTCCATTCATCCATATATTCATCAATCCATCCATATATCCATCAATCCATCCATCAATCTATCAATCCATTTATCTGTCAATCGTACCACAAGCAATGAAGATAGCAATACTCGGGGCAGGTGTGGTCGGCTTATCAACAGCTGTGCAGCTACGACAGCTGCTGCCGACAGCTGAGCTGGACTTGATAGCTGAAAAGTTTTATGACGAAACCACAAGCTACGGAGCTGCTGGGATTTTTAGACCCACCCTTTCTAAAACTCCCGGTGTTGAGATTGAGAGGATCAAGTTTGTATCCATCATATATGTTTTGTATGCTGTATTGCTGTATGTTTTGTATGCTGTATTGCTGTATGTTTTGTATGCTGTATTGCTGTATGTTTTGTATGCTGTATTGCTGTATGTTTTGTATGCTGTATTAATGTATGTTTTGTATGCTGTATCGTGTGTGTACATTGTATGCTCGCTAAATGTCAATAAACGACTTTAGATATTAATGATGGGTAGATGTAAATAATATATAAAAACCAAATTAATTTAACTATAATTAGAGCTATAAAAATCAATTGATTGATTGACTGAAGAAGTATAAATAAAAAATGAATAAAATAAAATGTAAACAGGAAATGGTTGAAGGACTCGTGGAAACATTACGAGGGAATCTTTCATGGCGATGAAGCCAGGCTTGCTGGCGTGCAGCTCATCTCCGGATATCAATTTGTAAACAATCCACAACCGGTTTACCATCATCATCATCACTATCATTATTATTATTATTATTATTATTATTATTATTATTATTATTATTATTATTATTATTGTCCACCCAAAGAATCCGCTGGAACGTGATATCGTCTTCTCATACAGAGCTCTCACTGATAAAGAATTAAGCGCGTTCCCTGGAGATCGTTTTAAGTATTATTATTATTATTTTATTATTATTATATTATTAATTTATTATTATTATTTTATTAATTTATTATTATTATTTTATTAATGTATTATTACTATCTATTATTATTAATAATTTCCGTGTTCCATACGCTAGCTATTATATATGGCTTGATTTCATGTCTGTGATTACTTAGGTACGGCTGGTTTGTTACTACACTGCTTATTGAGCCGAGAATTTACTTGAAGTACCTCACTGACAAGTATTTGAAATATATTTTTGCCAAGTTTTATTGTCATTTTTAATACAACCATTGTTTTTAGTAGTAGTAGTAGTAGTAGTAGTAGTAGTAGTAGTAGTAGCGATAATAATAGCAGCGGTAGTAGTAGTAGTACTGCTATTAGTAGAAGTATTATTTTACTTTTAAATTTCAAGAAAATTTTGTTTAGATTTACACAATCTGGCGGTCGAACGATTCGAAAAACTTTGGAATCTTTTGAAGAGGTAGTAGTTGTAGTAGTAGTATTAGTTGTAGTAGAAGTAGCAGCTATAGTAGTAGTATTAGTAGTAGCAATCATCATTATCATAATTTTCTTCTCAGTTATGTGGCAGGTATGACCTGGTTATAAATTGCATGGGTCTGGGTAGCAAAGAGTTACTCAAAGATGAAGAACTTGTGCCGAATCGAGGACACTTAGTTAAAGTAATGATTCCTCATCGTCGTTGTCGTCATCATCATCGTCATTCTCTTACTCATTCTCATCCTTAATTTCGAATTTAAAATTTAAAAACTCTACAGGTGAAATGTGATTGGTTGAAGCATTTCGTCTATACTGGCGATACCGGAACATGTTACATTTTACCAGGGTTAATTTTTATATCGATTCATTATCATCAACTTTTTCTTCTTCTTCTTCTTCTTCTTCTTCTTCTTCTTTTTCTTCATCATCATCATCATCTTCTTTTTCTTCGTGGTATGATAACTAGCATCATCATCATTACTACTATCATAAAAATGGTCATCTTAACTTATTTTTTATCTCTCAATCATTGTAAATAATATATAAGCACATGTTCATACGTTACAACAAAAAAACTCACAATCATTACCTAATTATTAAATCAGTTCAGCCGGCTTCATTTCGTTACTCCATAACTCCTAATTTTCCTAATCAGAATAGAAGTTACGACGATAGGCGGAACTAGAACGGACAACGACCTTGACCTTACCCCCAGAAAAGAAGATACTGAAAGGATATTAAACGAGGCTTACAAAGTTCTGCCATCATTAAAGGTAAGTGAGGGTGTCGAATTTTAGAATTGTATTTTGGAGAAAGTTTCTTTTTAAATATAATATTCAATATACGATAAAAATAATATTTATTTACTTGTTGGTTTTTTCTTTGATCGTTCGTTCATTCGTTTGTTCGTTCATCTATTCATTATTACTTTACTGTATCTATTTTTAGAAAGCGAAAATAGTTAGCGAATGGGTGGGTCTAAGGCCTCACAGGGCGCCATTAAGAATCGAAAGTGAAACCATGGAATTCCCTTCCGGCAAAAAATTGCAGGTAATTAATTATAGCCATTATAATTATCACTAATTATAATAATTCAGAATGATAAAAATTTTGCCAGGTGGTACATAATTACGGGCACGGAGCAGAGGGTATAAGTTTGAGTTGGGGCACATCTGTTGAGGCTGTTGAACTTGCAATGCGATTGGTCAAATAATATACGTGTTTATGTGTGTGTTTGTTTGTATGTGTGTGTTGAAGAAAAATAGATGTATAATTATATACACATTGTGTGTCGTCGTTAGTTTTGTTTTTGTATTTGTATATACTTGATGCGATATCATCTATGTATCAAGGTAATACATATTTGATTTAATTTTGTATGTGTGTATGTGTGTGTGTGCGTGTGGGAGAGTGCATGTGTACGTGTTTTTTTAAGTTTAACTTTCATTCTCCCAGGTTCAATTTTCCCAACTGTTACTTTCCATTTACATCTATCCGTATTAACGAGTATTTCGATTTTTTTAGAGTAAATTTTTGAAGTAAGAAAAAAAAAACAAAAAACCATTTGTTTGTAATTTTAATGCGATATGGTTTAACCTTTCTTCAAAAACAACTTTGTATCACGATTGTTTGTATATAGACACAAAAATACAACACAACGATAATAATTTTTTAAACAGTAAAGCCAACAAACTTATATCTATAAATAATATAACAATAAACACACACACACACGCGCGCACGCACGCATACACACATATACACACGCATATACAAACACATAAGTATATTTATATAAACAAGTTGTTCACAATGAAAAAATTTTTTTAGAAATAAATACAGTAAAAAAACTGAATAAAAAACAAAGAGATAATACTGACTTAGCTGTAATACGGATAAACATACAAGCCATACTGTTATTATTTTTATTAATATTATTATTACATATTTATTCATTAATTATTATTATTTAATTATTATTATCATCATCATCATCATTACATCAATAATATCATCATCGTCGTCATTGTAGACACAGTTTATATTCATCATTATTATCATCATCATCATCATTATTATTATTGTTATTATTATTAATATTATTCCCATCTTCGTCGTCGTCTTCATCACGCTTTTGTAGTTTGAGTCTTTTTATTACTGTCAGCCATTCTGTTGGAGGTCATCTTCTTGATCATCAGCATATCACTGCTCTGCTGCTCTGACTGGTTTACGCCCGGAATGTCTGAGTGTAGGTGATGATAATAATGACGATGACGGTGGTGGTGGTAGTGATGATGGTAATGATGTTGATGATGATGTTGATGATGGTGATGAAATTTGGAGTAGGACTGACAGGAAGTTATAAATACACGCAAATAAAATATTATTAAATGTACAATAAATCGATAGGCAAATGAAAAATGCATCAAATGAAAGATCTAGAAAACGAATTAATCTGTGAAAAAAAAAGTCAAATTTATTGAAATACTTTAAAATTCTCCAATGAAAAACTAACTCTCGAAATTCCACTGTCTCGCGAATCGAAAATCCACCGGCACATCCACTTTCGATTTCCCGGTCGACGCGCCCTCGACCCCATCTTGACCTCTGACCTCTTTCATTTCAACTTCACCATCTTCGTCTTCGTCATCTTTAGTCTTGTCATGAGCATTCGTGTAGGAGCGCTTCCAAGTAGAGTATCGGTTGACTGCTCCGTAGATGCTCCAAATCTCAGCGGCTAGAGGTAACACGACCATTATAACGGCAACCACCCAGGCGAATATAGCGATGACAAATCTCCAACTCATCAGAAGTTCTTGCAGGGGTACATATCTCAACAGGTACATCGCTATTGGCCAGAGAAAGAATAAGCATAGAGCTATGAGAACCGGAACCGCATAACTAATGACGTTAACTTTTCGGTATCTGCTATTCAGTGTTTTCAGCATATCCGAGTAGAACTCTCTAGATCTCATTGGATCGTACGCCTGGTCGGTATCCGGGGAAGAGTACAGGTACATCCAGGATACGACGGGGCTGTCGATGGCTAGAGTGGGCGTCCACACGTCATCTTGGATGTAGTCGTCGTAGAAGGAAGCCGACAAGCCGCTCTCTTCCATTTGCACTCTGTACCACCATACCTCCATGCAAACAATTTCGAATGTTAGTCATTTGTGATTGATGTTGAATAATTTTTTGAAATTAAAAAAATTTAATAAAATTTTGAAGCGTAATAATTTTTTGAAAAAATCTACCTTCGCTAATTTGTTCTTCCTGAAGCTGGCCATCTTCTCAGCGTTCCTGCCGTGGCACATCCAGCCGAGTGATGCACTTACAAAGGAACTCACCAGAATACCGGTGCACTGAGCAGACAACACGCCCATCGGATAACTCGACTTATCGAAAAAGTTCGACCAATCGTCCGGATAGAAAAACATGAAAGTGAACCAGACGACCAGAGATGTTAACAAACCGACCGACACACCCAGCACAACTCCTATCGCGTTTGCTTTCTTCCAGAAGAATGTTAAACAGACCGGTGCGATGCATGGGGATGTGAATATTCCCATCAAACTCAGCAACCAGAGAGATTCAACTCCCCATAAAATGACTAGATAAGTGAGGCCGAATACGATCACTGAACAAACGATGGTTGAAAATGTTTTCGTTCGGAAGTCCTGGCTCTGTCTGTTGAGGTAAAGTTCCAGTAGCTTCATTTTGTCTTCGGAATTACCGACGATACCGAAGTTTCTAGCCATCGGTTTTTTCGGTTTCGGTTTCGATTCGAATGTCGCCAGATTGATTCCATCTAAATCGGCATTATTGTTATTTTTATCGTCAGAGTTAATTTTCTTGTCATTGTTGTTGTTCATCTTGCTTCTTTTATTATTGTTATTATTATTACTATTTACATTGTTGTTGTTATTATTATTAATGTTGTTGTTGTTGTTGTCATTTTTATTATTATTGCTATCATCATCGTCATCGAATCCAGCGTCAAGCAGATTATTATTCTTTCTTTTAGTGGCCTTGGACTGAATGAGTTCAGCGTAGGGTTCAAATGGCTTCAAGTAGGTCATGGAGATGTCGTAGATGATGATGGAGCTGAGCGAGAGCAGTTGAGGGGTGAGGCAGGCGAGGCAGAGGAAGCAGACGAGACAGAAGATTATGAAACTGCCCAGCTGATCCAGAAGTTTCTGAGAAGCTATGGCTATCAGTTCGTCTGGTCGGGATGGAAAAATGTTTTTTAAATTTTTTTACAATCGAGAGTAAAAAATACTGGAGAAAAATACGAACGAACGTACAAACGAACGAACAAATGAATAAATGAATGAATGTTAATTAATTAATTAATTAATTCATTCATTCATTAAGTAAGTAATTAATAATATTTTAAGCGAGAATAAAATTAAAACGACTCTCTATCAGCAATTTTACAAAAAATTTATTCAACTATTTTTCATTGAATCACGAAGCAAGCTGCGTGAAAGAGATGCACAAATTACCGGGCAGGCTACTGAGATGAAAAACGGTTGATTCGTTAGCGAAGAGAGTCGGTCTCATGTCGATCCGCATCGAACCGGTAACGATACCGAATACGTAGGAAAGGGTGATGGATATGAAGAACCAACAGAAGCCGCCGAGAATGTGGCTCTTGACGGTTGATGTAGGCCTAGTGGCGACTGCAGTCATCCAAAACGATTGGTCCGTCACAGTCGAACTGAAACCGCCTGGTGGTTTCAAATCATCAACCTCATCATCATCAACCTCATCATCATCAACCTCATCATCATCAACCTCATCATCATCAACCTCATCATCATCAACATCGTCCTCATCGTCGTCGTCATCATCGCCATTATTTTAATCATCATCGCCTCCTTTCTTTGAAATTTATATGAATAGGTACTCACTGAGTAGTCGTATGAAAGCGAATATAAGGATTGATTTCGAGTTCAGTCTTGGCATGCCGATCTGTTCGGCTGGCAACTTATCTGTGAAAAGATCGCAAGTTGAACCTAATGAAGGGAGGGTATGATGCGATTGAGTGTTTGTGCACGTCTTTGCATACGTGTGTGTATTTTTTTTATAGTTGTACGTGGAAATACAATAAAATGTACAAATTAAATGTACAATCAAACACTACAAACAGAACAGTGCAGCATAAAACACAAGGCATACACAAGAAACACAGCCAACCTGAACAGTTATTGATGGCGGTCAAGAAGTCGGTATAAAATTTGGAAGTGGGAGTAAGGCTGTGGAAGTAGACCAGCATGGAGCCAGTGACGAATGTACAGACGCAGTAGGAAAAATAAATTGACCCGCCCAACCCTGAAATCGTCGAACTGAAACATCCGGTGAGAACCAAGATGGCGGCCATGATGTAGATGTTGACGTCTGTTTTTTATGTGAGTGCGTTACGTCATTATGTACCGGTCAGTTTTTAAATTATCAATAAGAGATGGGAGTTTTTCTGATTTAGTTCTTAATTTATTTATTCATTCTTACATTCACTCATCCGTCCATCCATTCATTCGTTTATTGATGACGTCATAAATAAATAAATAAGCAGACCGGTGCAGAGAGCTGAAGCGATCCTGGCCGCCTCAGACAGGACCATTGTGGCGAGTGTGAAGTTGGTTAGGAGGGCGATCGAGATCAACATGATGTGCGATGTCGTCCCTAACCTAGCTTTTATGACCTGCGTGCGTGTGTGTGTGCGTGTGTGTGTGCGTGTGTGTGTGCGTGTGTCTTGTGTCTGTGTGTGCGTTTCTGTTAAAACCTGCAAAAAAGTTTTGGCGCCAGGAGCGATGAACCTAATCCTGAATGACAAAATGGTGGAAAGGATGACGGGAATCGAACCGCAGATGGTGTACCAAACTTGCCCCCCCATGTGGGCCTGGAAAAATAGGGATGATAGCATCATTGTAATTGTTTATATTATAAAAATTTTTACGCGAGTGAGTATCATGATTGCTTGAAGTATCACTTCGTTATCAATTATAAGTATCATTAATAACCAAAAGTACTATAATTTTTACACGTATCATAATTCCTTATGGGTAGCATAATTATTTTCAAGTACTATAATTAATCATAAATACTATAATTATTCATAATTAGTAAATTTATAATTAGCAAAAACCATAATTTCTCACGAGTTGAAAGCTGGCAGTGCTGACCACAATGGAGCCCGTCCATAGCCATCTGGCGACAACTAGACAGGTGACCATCAGGAAATTAACATTGCCACCAGCATCGAAGAACGTATCTATGATGTGCCAGTCCATATAAACGTTGTTTCTATTTGTATGTGTGTGTACGTGTGTGTGTGTGTGTGTGTGTGTGTGTGTGTGTACGTTCGTGTGTGTGTGTGTGTGTGTGCGTGCAAACTTCTCACATATACCTCATGTAGGCGTGTATCAGTGTAGCTACGACAAAGAGGAAGAAGATGACGACGATGAATCCGACTGCAACCAGGGCATTAACATCCGGTTTGACCACATCCAGTATCCTCGGACTGCCAGCCATCCAATCCTGTCTCGTTTCGATTTTCTTACCCCCAGACGCTCGGCTGTTAGTCGCACCGCCGCTAAACACTTCTGCAACTTTAACGTTCGCGATTATATTGTTTCTTGAATTGTCATCTTCTGAGTCAGTATCTTTTTTATAAGTAGCAACTGTGTTGTCGTCTGAAGTATGAATGTGAGTACATTCACTGCTACTACTCAAACTAGGAATAGTATTTGTGGTTGGAACTGAAGTAGCTTCAACAGCGTTATCATTTACCGTAGTAACAAAAGCTGCGACAGTTTCAGCAAAAGTTTTTGGTGTAGATGTAGTAGTTGTTGTCGTTGTTGTAGTTGCTGCTGTTGTAGTAATAGCAGTTGTTGTAGCAATAGTAGCAGCTGCTTCTGTTGTAGTAGTGGTAGTTGCTTCGAGAGTGACAAAATTTGACATTGATGACATCGTTGTGACGTCATTTTTGTCGCCAAACGCATCAATTTGTTGGCTAGGTAGCAATAACAATATTAGCAGCGGTATTAGTAGTTTTGTTGTTGTTGCTGCTGCTGTCCTGGTTACCCGTGTTGTTGATGACCTGTTTTGTTGTTGTTTGTGTGTGTGTGTTTGTGCGTGTGTATATAGGATATCTAACTTGTAAATAACATGACGACACGCCTCATTATAATATCGCATTATTATAAATAGATTAAATAATGAATGGAATAAAAACTTTGAAATAATTTAAATAAATAAAACTAACTTCAAAATTAAAGATAAAAAAATAACATAAATATCATTACCTCAGAACCCCCATAGTAAGAAAAGAACCCGCACACTAAACTTCCCTTGAAAATAAATTTCCGTCAAAATATGACTAAGTTTGTGTGTCTGTTTGTGTGTGTGTCTGTTTGTGTGTGTGTCTGTTTGTGTGTGTGTCTATGTCTGTGTCTATGTATGTCTGTGTGTTTGTGTACGTGTGTGTGTGAGTATCTATGTACTTGTGAATTATTATTAATTAGAGAAGTATGAATGTTTTGTTGACAAGTCAATTTAATCAGGCAAACTCTTTTCACGAGCGTCAGGGTCAGGTTTTTATAATTGTTATTAATTATTGCTGTTATTATTGATAATATTTATTATTTATTAATGTTATTCTTGTTATTATTTTAATACTAAAAAATGAACTAACAAAAGGAGACAAAAACTTATAAAAAGACGGTTTAACAAATTAAAAAAACTGTTTAATACTTTTACAAATAAATTAATTATCCAATTAATTAATTAACTAGTTAGTTAATAAATTAGTTACTTAATTAAAATTAATAATGGCATTTTAATTAATTATAGTAACAATGTAAAAATAGAAATGTTTAACTTGACGGTGTTCGAGATTTATTAAAGACAACCAGAAGGCTTATATCAATTATAAGCTCTCATAATACCCATTGATACATACACACACACACCATGCTGCATACACACACACAATCATACACACTCATACATTTATACACATGCACACTCATACATACATTTACACACACTTGACTATCCAACTGTCTATATACATATATATACATATATATATTTATATATATTTATATATATATGAGGATTGGTTAAATAATAAAAATAATAATAACGGTTTTGATTCATTGACAATTGTTTCTGTTTCTTGGAGCAATTCATTTTGCACTAACTAGTGGAGTTTTATATATTCGCTTCGCCAGCCACCAACTTGATTATGAGTTATTAAATTTAATAATTTTTATTAATAATATTTTATAATTTAATTTTATTCAGTTTAAATATGGAGAGAGAAAGAGAGAGGGGGGGGGTATGCAAATAGAAAGAAGCATAGAAAGAAAGAGCACGAGAAGAATAGATAAATCGATGGACAGATAGCAAGAGAGAGAGAGAGAGAAACAGAGGAATAGTCCGGTGAAATAAGGAAATATAGAAAAAAGTATAGAAAAAAAATAAAAATTAATAAACAATATCACATTAACAAAAAATGCAAACAAACACATACACACACACCTCGCATATGCAAACACGCCAATGAAAACATGCAAACTAACAAAGGCAAATGCAAACACAACGTCACGATACTAACCCGTCATTAAAAGTTCATATACAAATAAGTAAATATACGTAAATACAAATATACCTACGCTTAAATACCGTAAAAAACCTTAAATTTAGGTGAAGATATCTCAGAGCACGAATCGTAAAACTATGTCTAAATCTGTCTATATAGTATCGCCCCAACCACGTTTCAAAACATAACATAAAGAGAGAGAAGAGAGAGAAAAGAGAGAGAGAGAAAAGAGAGAGAGAGAAAAGAGAGAGAGAGAAAAGAGAGAAAGAAATGAGAGAGAGAGAGAAAGAAAAGAGAGAGAAAAGAGAGAAAGAAAAGAGAGAGAGGGATGATTAAGAATGTAACATTTTTGTGTCCAATTCAAATTTAATTCGAGCGTTTGCTATCAGTTTGTGTATTACACGAGTGTGTTGCATCTCTCTCTCTCTCTCTCTCTTTCTCTCTGACCTTCTTTCTTTTTTTTATTTCTCTTTATTAGTACATTTATAAAGAAAGAAAGAGTAAAAGAGAGAGAGAGAGAGAGAGAGAGAGAGAGAGAACATTTATAAAATTTATATTTTAATAATATAATTTACTAAAAATATAATTCAAACCTGACAACCCAGGTTCAAATAACGTCACGATCACTTCATCATGCGCGCGCGCGTATACACACACACATACACACACAAATACACACACACATGCAAAAATACCTAGAAATACACACATTTGCATGTTGGCATTTGAAATGTCTCCGCAATGAATGTGTCAAAATCAATCCCATTAAGTTTAAATTAAAAGCAAGCACACACACGTACAAAAAGGCATATATACACGTGCATACACACACACATGTATAGTCACACATACAAACGTATAAACACACACACACACATTTCATTTAGACAAGTGATTCACGGTGGTAAAATATCATACACAAACACACCACAACACACACACACCACCACACACACACACAAATACACACACACACTTTTCTCTCTCTCTCACACACACACATTTAAACAAACGAACAAAGGCATATAAATATATATATATATAACATATACATGTATATATATAATATTGTATCAATTTATCTACTTATCTATATACAGCCAGCGTTAAACTTAAATGAAGAATTTTTGAAATATTTCAAATAGCAACAAGGCCCAAGGCACAATTAATTGCTAACATTTTTTGACAGAAACTCAAATTAATAATAACAATAATAAGTAACAATACTACTACTACTAATAATAATAATAATAAAAACAATAATAATATTAATAATAATAACAAATAATACTAAATAGTAATCATGATAGAACGACAACACTAATTAATGGAGTAACAGTAGAAAGCCTCTGGCTATTAAAAAGTTATTGCTGTCTATGATGGCAGGTCTTTCAGTTCTTAACGTAAATCATTAACAGCTGTTGAATTATTACAGCAACAACATCAATAACAACAACAACAATTAACAACAACAATGACAACATACCCATGACGAAGACGACAACAACATTAATGGCATTACCATCAAAGTACCAACATCACCGCGACGACAACAACAACAACAACAACAACATCATCCCAGCAACATGACCAAGCCATCGTCAGTGTAGTACCCTGTCTTATTGTCAGTAGAAAACCTTCTAGAAATGTGCACCCTGTCTAGATCCAAGCTACCGAAATAAAAATCTCGAAATTTTTCAAAAATTTTTGTACCATCAAAGCACTCTCTACCTTTGAAACCATCTCTACCACTACTACTGCTACTGTTAAAACCTCTACCACAACCACCCATACTACTATTACTATTACTTTTACCACTACTACTACTAATAGAGGTAGTAGTAGTAGTAGTAGTAGTAGTAGTAGTAGTAGTAGTAGTAGTAGTAGTAGTAGTAGTAGTAGTAGTAGTAGTAGTAGTAGTAATTTTAGAGCTAGCGTCACAGACGTTTTCCTTCCTGAATGCAGTGTTCATCAGAGTTACATGGAGTTTGACGTGGTCGTACTGCTTTGTCATTAGGCCGGCCGAGATTAGTGGATTAGTGATGCTATCAGAGATGTGCTGAAGTCTGCTGGGGAGGATAATAAAACAAATCAAGATGATAAAAAATGATGATAATAATAAAAGGAATAGCAGAAATATTAAGGCTAGCACAGCACTGACGCCACTGTATAATAATCACTATAAATATCAGCCTCATCAGCCAAAGTTATCACCATCGTCGTCATCATCGTCTCGAAAACTTCTCTCACCTTCCTTCACTATCTCTCCTTCTACTCTCACCCCCATCACCAGCATCATCATCATCATCATCATCGCAGAAGACTTTAGCGTAAAGAACGTCAATGGAGTACGGGTCATCGTTCATGTACTCCAGACCTTTCAACTTTATGGAGAGCGGTTTGTCTAATAGACCGGACCTGAATAAATGAATGAATAAATGAATGAATGAATGAATGAATGAATGAATGGATGAATGAATGAACGAACGAACGAACGAACGAATGAATGAAATAATGAATGAATGAATGAAAGAAAGAAAGAATGAATGAATAGATGAATGAATGAATGAATGAACGAATGCATCCTTACTAACTTCTTCAATTCCTCTCTGCAGCCCCTTATAACTTGCTCAGTTCTCTCAACCTCCTTACTATCAAGCAGGACCATGACGCCCAACGTCATATGCAGCTTGCTAGGGTTTTGAAATATTGTCTCATCGATTCCTTTAGCCTGTACCCAAAAAAAAACCAATCACCAAAATTCGATTGAAAGTTAATCTAAAAATTATAATTTATAACAATTATAGTGTAATAACGACGGGTCAAAATAAAAGGATGAATAAATGAAAAAAAGAATTAATAGATGAATGAATGAATGAATAAATAGATAAATAATAAATAAATAGATGACCAACTAGTTGGACAGATAAATTTATAATGACACTATTACACTGTTTCAACAAAAATAACAAATAATATCCAACTCAACTAACGTCACAATCCTTGAGAACGCCTTCTTTAAATGACAAAAAATTATTTATAATTTCGTTAGTGGCGACTGAGAAAGAGACGAAATGGCTGAACGGCTGTTTCTTCCTTTCGGCTTCGACTATCAACATAACTCGAGTGCATGCTGATGCTATGTTGTTTTTGTCTTGTCCTGTTATAACTGATGAATCAATCATTGAATGAATGAATGAATGAATGACAATAAAAAAGTGATTTGTATTTTAATTTTTTCATCAGCAGAAACTCACCTACTGAACCCTCTTGCCCAATTGGGGGTAGCTTTATTTTAACATTGGTGGCCTCTTCAATTTTCCTCCTCGTTTCTCCTTTGTGGCCAACAATGTGCCTAAAACATAGACTTGGTATCTCGAGTTTGGCCCGGAAGCTCTTGCTATTTATATCTTCTATAGGGAAATCGCAACTGTCACAGCGCTCATCATCATACATGTCGTAGGCTGTTAATTGAAAATTTTTCAAATTTTTAATTTTAATGTTAATCCAATTTATTCGTTTAAATTTTTTTTAATAAAAGTTTTAATAAAAATAAGAAACATGGCATTAGTTTAGTAAAGTTTAATTTTTTTAAATAAATCATGATGGTGTTAGAAATTAAACTAGAATAGCAGTAGAGGACCATTGAAAATTTAATAAAAGTTGATTAGAGTTGTTAACTAAATAAAAGATAAAGATAAATAAACATTAAAATAAAAAAGTTTTAAAAAAGACAAAATTACTATCCGGACGAACATACTCAGTCCCCTAACCTTCAACTCGGCTCATGATTTTTGCCTCTTCAACTGGGGCTGGGACTTTGCCAGCATTTGCAGAACTTCCATCATCATTCCCAAAAAACCCATTTTCGGCAGAATATTTATTTCTCCGGTATCGTATGTTTTTCACGGTGAAAATCGGCGGTCTTAAAACGTCCATTTTTTAAAATCTATAATTAAAAATAATTATTAATATTACTATTAAATTTTGAGAGTTTTGAAGCGAAAATTTAGACAGAATCGTAACCGAATTGTTGAAAAACACGAGTTACGCAGTAAGGGTAACTTAAATTTACTTTTGAAATGAAAGTAAACGATGTTCGAAAGTGAATTGAAGTAATTAATTGTTAAATTTACACTGCCTAAATTTACTAGTATGATGGATTTGATTATATATTTGACATTTTTACAGCAAATTTATATCAATTTTTATGTTTAAAAATGTTTAAATTAAATAAATCATGATGAATAAATAGAAGTTGAGTTTTGTTTTTCACTGGATTCTTCAAATTCAGACTACGTTAGTTGTTTACAACATAATGGCATTTAAATTTTAAATGGACAGAGTATAAATTGATTATATTTTAAAATTCTTAAAATAAATTCAGTTTTTAAGAATATTGAAATAAATATAAATAATATAATTATCTATTATTATAACAGTAATCAATAAAATGATGAATAATCCAAGAAATTTGATAAATTTCTTGGAGGACAACTATTATGACGAACCTGCTGAAGAACTGGAAAATCTGCCTTCAATTCCAGTTTAGACTTTTGAAATTTTGACTCAAATTTCGTTAAAAATCATTCAAAATTTTCAAAATAAGACATCTTTGTTATAACAATATTAATTTTTATTAATAAAATTTGCAAATTCGATAATATATTTCATCAAAATTAAATATATCCAGGTTAATCAGTATAAGTCTGAGGGATATAAGCTGATGAATTTGAAGCATTATTATAAGGCAGCTTTATATTTTCAAAAAGTTCGTTCGTTTAATCGTTCATTCATTCGTTCATTCATTCGTTCATTCATTCATTCATTCATTCATTCATTCATTCATTCATTCATTCATTCATTCATTCATTCATTCAATCATTCACACATTAATCGTTTTAAGTATATATTAAAATGCTGTACATAAAACTACACAGAATTAAAAATAAAATTAGTGAATTAACCATTCAGTACTTAACATTTTCGTAATAATAAATGAATAACATTAGCGATGAAATCATCAAATAAATATCCTAATCTTCACAATGAATGGCAAGTGCAGTCTCTTGCGTTGGAAAAGAACAACGCGATGACACTCATACATCGCTCCTACTGCAACCTCAAACTTGAAAACGTCAACAAAGCCATGAAGGATGTAAATGAGGCTCTGAAGCTGCAGCCCAAAAATATTGCAGTAAAGTTAATTTTAAAAATTGTTTCATTTTTAAAAATTTACGTTTTTTCATTAAAACAGCTTTGAATCTGGCTCTTGTGTTGTCTTAACTGGCTTCGAATACAAATCTTATCACAGACGTCTACTACTACTACTACTACTACTTCTGCTGCTGCTACTACTACTACTACTACTAATACTACCTACTACTACTGCTACTACTGCTACTACTATTACTACTACTGCTAGCTGCTGCTGCTACTACTACTACGACTACTACTACATAAATTCATAATTTTCCAGGCCTTGCTACAAAAAGCGGACACTTATTATTTCATGGGAAAATTGGAAGAGGCTTTGGTGCACTACTACAGATCTCAGAAGTTGTCCCCAAGACTACAAAGGTGCCACTTGTGGGTGTATATCTGTGAGACCGCCATCTTAAAAATTATCGGAGGTGTGCTAGTGAAACTGCTTTGATTAGTGAATGAAGTTGAGGAGTTTGATTGGCTGGTGGGTCTGCGAGACCGCCATTTTGAAAGAAAATCATTGAGGTTGAGTGATGTTAGCTGGAGTCTAGTGAAATTAGTAAAGTTTTGTTATTCATTTTATCATTTTAATTGGCTATTCAGTTTAAGGTTTTTTTATCTCTTTCTTTCTCTCTTTCTCTCTTTCTCTCTCTCTCTCTCTTTCGTCCACTTTCCTTCTATAGCTCCCATGTACATACACTCCAATTGAAGATTCCAGAATGCTGCTAACAAAGAATGGCGACCTTTCATTTCTAGAGAAACAAGTCGAAGTTAGGCAATGACGTCATCGATGACGACGACGACGATTGAGATGATGATGATGATGAGGAGGAGGAGGATGACGTCATCTTCATCATTCCTATCATTTTCACCATAATTGTATTTGTCAATATTATTAATTTTCCTCATATCATAATCGTCGTCGTATTCGTCAATTGTCATCATCTTCTTCTTCTTCACTATCATCTACTTCACCATCATCTTCCTCATCATCACCATCCTCTTCTTCTTCATCATCATCATCTTCATCATCGTCCTCTTGTTCTTCATCATCAACACCAGGAGAATTCGGT